TTTATGCCGTTTTTTCAGTGGCAAAATACCTGAGCTATTTTAAAACTTATACATATATGAATTTATTAACTATATTTATCTTTTAACATACTTAGTTCACCACTACAAACATATATACAAATCAATCGACGGCGCCTCTCTTTTCCCTATTCGGTATTTGTTTAGTAAAATTTATGATGAACAATTTGTAAACATGAAATCAATTTTGAAATTAAAATTTTGTCAGTTATTATGTGTGTGATTATGTGAGTGTATCTAGCAATAAGTGTGCGCGAGTGCGTGCGTGTAGAAATGGAAACCAAAAACTATTTTAAGTAGCGGAAAGGATTTTATGCTCCACAGAGCAAGACTTAGAGAGGACGTGTGCGAGAGAGAGAGGTAGTCAGTAAACTCATAAGTCAGTGCACTTCTGCCATCTTATTCCATTGCTCACATTCCAGACAAGCAGCTTCTTCTCTGTCGCTGCTCGCTCTTTCCATATGCTGCTTGTTAAGAGAGCTTTTACAACATATAGTTGAAGTTCAAGTGCAAGAGATGCGTGGCGGCGGCCCTTTTGATCGTGAGAGACAGCTGGCCGAGGCAATGAACGGCAATGGCTACGTGAGCTGTTACGTGCTCGCTGTCAAATGAACAGTTAACAGGCACAGAAATTCCATTGAGAATTCCAATGGAAAGAGAAGACAATACGGTAACTTGAGAAGAAAGCGAATTCGATTTCAAAACAGAATTGGCTTTTGCGTCGAGTTGAGCTAAACGCATAACGAAAGAGGTTAACAAAACGGAATGTGCAATCGCACGTATGTGTGTATATGAATATACAAACACGAACACACATACACGCACGCACACACACATGTTTATAGGTATTAAACGCGTTTTAATATCGATACCCTACGGCACTCCCCGTGCTTTGCCTTAATCGGTGCAGCAAACTGGTATACGAAGGCGAAGAAGAACAACCGGGAGTGGAGGCACAAATTAATTTCACTAAATTTCGATAGGCGAATCCCCACTCAGCACACACATACATACTCACGAACACTCACGATTTACAAAAAATTTATGTTTGACATTTATTTTGTGCTAACAGCAAAGAAGACATGCGAAAATTTTCATAGGAAACATGGCTCACAGGCGCAAATAACAAAAAAATGGTATATGAGTATGTGTGTATGCATGTATGGAAGTATCAACAGTGAAAGCCGCCTAAGGCGGATGTGATGGCAGTTAGTTGTCCTGCCCAAAGATTAAATAATATACATACATAAATAGAGGTTAGAGGTGAATGTATATATGTTTATATGTATGTATGCATGTACAACTATGTAAATGCTCATGTGTGTAGGCATAAATACATTCGTATATCAACACATGCTTCTAGCATGAATAACCGTAGCGGAAAAGGTAGAAATAAATGTGTCTGATATGCATATGCGTATGTATGTATATTTACGTTGTCTTATCAGACAAATGGCTTTTCTTATCAGCAATATCTTGGAGAAACCAATTTTAAGAGAGCCGACACACATACTTAAATGAATGCTTACATATGTATATACACATATACATACATTTACATGTGTACATTGATGCATCCCAGTATTGGTATTTGCATGATAATTGCCACATTTTTCGGCAAAAATAATATTTTAAAAAAAATGAAAAACAAAAAATAAACCGAATCGCGTTTTGAGTTTCAAGTCAAATTCATATATTTATTGCCGCCTTGCACTTTTTTTGCAGTAACAAAATTGGTTCGTGGTGTAATAAAATGTTAAAAACGCAAATACAACAAAAACGTAGCTGGGAACACGTTGTTTACGTTTTGACAGCCAAAATGGGGGAAATATTCGAGCAAAGAGAGGGTGAGAGAGAGAGAGAGAGCGCGCACGCGAGCACTCACACACTGTTACATGAACACTCCACTCTCCAAGCATGTAAGCAGCACGCGTTTGTGTGTTATAAGAGAAGACAAGAAATGTTTTGGGTTTTTTTCACGACGCCGGCAGCGACAGAGCGTAAAATCAGAGTTGTGCCCGTTTCTGCTTACCTTGCAACATCCTCATCGACATTCTGCTCGCGTCGTAATCTAATGGGTGGCACTGGAGTTGCTGGTGGATCCGCAGTCGTTGTTGCTGACTCTGCAGCTAGAGTTGGAGATGGGTCAGTAGCTAAAGCGGGAGCAGGAACTGGAACTGGGTCTACGGGCACCTCCACCGCTGGAGCCGTTGGCGATATTCCCGACAGAGTACCCAAAACCGCCTTATTTGACATTTGCGTGAGGTACTCAATAGTGCGCACTCTTCGTCTATTGTGTGACATTTCAGTTGTTATTGTTGCTGTTGTTATTATTGGTTGCGGTCTTCTTGGAATTTCTCAACAGCCGACCAACACACGCACAGCCAGTACTACCTAAACCGCACGCACACACACACATACACACACTAAGTCACATATATACACATACACTCATGTATATGCTAGCACACGTTCTCTTCACTTTTGTTGTCGCTCACGCTGGTGCTAATCGAATTTATTTAAATTTTGTACTTTCACAGCGCAGCAACGCACACGCGCGCACATAACGGAAGCTTTGATTCGAAAATTTAAGGTTTTTTCTTCGGCTAACCGTGGCAATCAGGTGACAACGACGACGCGTCTCACCTGGGCAAAATTGCGGTCTTAACTGACGGTGTGGCCGTTTCTTGTTAGCCATAAAATGCTCATAAGAAATGCAACCGGTGACTACATCAGCTGACCGCAAACTTTAAGAAAACAACATTAAAAGAACGCTAAATATTGACTGCTCAAAGAAAATGTAGATTAATTTCGGTTGGAGAACTGCTAACACGATCATATACTTAATATGGGCTGACATGTCATTCACAAAATGCAACAGTTAGTTTGTTATTGTTTTGTGTGAATATGAACGAGTTGAAAGCGCTGCCAGATGAGTGAAAACAAATGGTGTATTAGCTCATAAAAGACTGCTTGCTATAAAACTTGCGTGCACTTATTTCGATATAAGTGTGTAGACACTGGTGTTCAAATTAAAGGTGCTAATCAAATGATTTTAATTAAATTAAAAGATGTCATCCATTCAATACATAGCGTAGACTTCAATGGAAATATTATGAATCGGAGGTGTACTACTCATAAATGTCTGAATGCACACACACTACACTTTCGAGATACCTTTCTGCTGCATTGCTTTTGCGCGTAAGTTTGAACCGCTCGGGATATACACACTGCCAATCATATATCAAAGTTGTTAATTACATCTTCCGCTCCTAATGAAATTAGAATATGAAATCGAATTCAAAGCAAATACCATGAGATAGACGTTCGAGAGGTGTAATAATATTTGAGTTAGCCTTGACTGCTTCGACTGATAACCAGTTTGTTTTTCACAGGTGTCACACATCTTACATTAGTGTCCAATAATCATATTAAATACACACTAAAAAAAGGTATCAGATGCACAAATACACTGAGCGACGTCAGCTGGCCATTCTGTTTGCCTTACAAATTAGTTGCAGCTCAATAATTGAGCCGTAATGTGACTTGGCAGCTGCCAGCCCACTTCTCGGGGCCGATGCCTTTGTCCAATTTATTCAAATATAAAATACTCAAACAAGAAAAGATAAATACAAAAATATATAGAAATGTGCAGATGCGCAAAAATCCTACAAATGCGCGTGTTTTTCCAATTAACACACTTTTTCCCCCATTGATTCATAAAACAAATACGTATTTATCTTTGATATACATATGTATGTGGAGATCGTTTTTGTGTTTGAGTTTCACTTTTATTTACAAAGAAATTGAATCATATTTCTCACTTAATTTTAACGGTATTCCACAGCCTGGCAACAACTAAATTTAATATATATGTATGTAGCTATGTGTGTGAATGTCACATATTTTGCCAACATTTATTGATAAGTCTCTAACGTTAGTAGGTTAGTTAAGTCAGATAACCGTTATCGACATATTGATTTTCTACTATATATACATATTTTGTTATTGCAAAAACAGAAAAACAAGGAACAACAACTTGTTCTGATAGTCATGATCAAAGAGTTCGCATTGTCATCAGAATAATATGATGAGTACTTCTATTCATTGAATAAATAGGTAAACCAGAAATTCCCAATCGCCTTCATAAATACGTATTCAAAAAAATCCCAACATTCTCTCTCTCTTTCTCTCATTGGCGCTCTCTTCTGCTTTTGTCAGACTCTCTGTTTATGTTTAGCGGTGTGACGTTTTGCTGGCCAATTCATTTGTGAATTGAGCAAAAAAAGATTCACTATATATTTATTAATTGCAGAAATGAAAACTTGTTAAAGACAAAAAAACTGTTTAATATATTCAAGTGCAGCTATGGTTAATGAACTATCTATTTGTCAGAGTAATTAACAGTTACTATCAAAACGGCGTTGCCAGATGATTAAAGAGGGCAATCTGCACTGTGTGCGTGTATAAACGACCTGTTGCTTTGTGGTTAATGCTACAACTTGGTTAGCCCCTTCCAAATGGTGACGAGTGGATTTCTCTTTAATTACATGATAGCAACAAACAAAACAAATGATTATCACTTATGCACATACATTATATACAACATGTGTATGAGACAATATTTTACATGCGTGGGCGTCGAAAAACACAAATAAATACTCAAAGTACGCACACATAAGAACATGCATGTACATATGCGCGTTTGCATAGAATGGTCCAATTCTTCAATTGCATGCACAACTACACGCTCACTGGTTCATTCGCTTGCTCGTTCTCTCTCCTGCTCCAGGCATCAGTCCAGCTAACGCAACTGAGTAAAAGAGCGCCTGAGCGTGAGACCAATAACGTAAGCGAGAGCATTACGTTAATTTGCGCTCACGAGCTACATACATATAACGTCCGATCGGTGCTGTCTCTGTCGCTGACGTCGCTGCTGTCGCTTGGAGCTCGCTGGGCTGGAGTTCGGTCAGTCAGTTGTTATCGAGCGTTACTTGAAGCTGGTTGGCTGGCTGTCCACTGCCAGGCTGTGTGTTTGTTGTTAGTGTTAGTGTTTAGTATTAGTCGATTTAGTCGTGTGTACGCGCTGCGAAAATCTGAGCAAACGGCACCCACCCTCTCCTGCACCGCTCGCGTTGTCGCCGCCGTCATCATCATCATCGTCGCCGTCGCCGTCACCCTCGCGTCGCCGCCGCCGTCTTCGCCGACATCTTTGCTGCCAGTTTTATTTGTGTGAGTGAACCAGTGACTACCAAAAAAAAACCAAATAATAAATAGGTTGCGTTTTAAGTACAATTACACACAGACGAAAATCGTGCATAAACAGTTACAGCTGAAGCTTCAGTTGTTGCTAAGCGTCGCAGCATCTGCAACAACAAAATCAACAATTATTAATTATACATATGTACACATATTTATGCCCACGCACACACACACACACACACACACACACACACACACACTCACAGTTACATGTGTATGTTGTATACATTTTCATTGTGCTGCATAAGCGAGAAACAAACGGCTCATTGTCTCGCAAAAAAATCTCAACTGAAAAAAGTTTTAAATAATAAATAAATAATTTTTGTAGATAAAAAACACAACGTCAACTGCAAAAGATCACGAATTGCGGTACACGCGTTGTCGCCTGTTGTCGCTTGACGTTGTCGCAGACGGAAAACAAATTCAGTTTCACACACACACACACATTTACACATGCACACCTACCCACATACACTCACACGTTCACTGACATACACCAGCATGCGTCGCTTGGAAAGCCACACTGGAGATTTGCACAAGTGCAAAGACAAAACGATTTCGTTGGGGTTTTCATAATTTGCCTCGTCTAAAACCGTTATATATACATATATTATTAAGACTTCAAATTAGTCAAATCTAAACTCATACGAAACAAAGCGCGTGCAGAGCCGAGCCTACGCAACCTAAGCCGAAAGAAACGAAGAGCAAAAACTATGCATTATTACATGTGCTGTACAAGTTGCTCTGCAAGAGAGGTCCTACGGCTCGAAATATACATGTAAATATGGATATGTGTATGTACATATGTATATATGAACATGTTAGTACATGCATGTTGAGAATGTCCTAAAAGGAGAGGGGATATTTTTTGGGCACATTAGTATTATAATTATATGTACATATGTACATACATACGCATATACATACATACATATTTATTGTATTTATTCACACTTGATATTAAAAATAAATATATTATGATTCATATACAAATTGACGTTTATTTAACAAAGTATTGCTATGAAAATCTCAACGAAATTTTGAGGAACTTTTGTATATATATCATCGAATTGTGAAAGCTCGTAAAAATAAATAAAACAATTGAGTTATGGTCGAAATATAAATCAACAATATTTCCCGTTCCCAATAAAAACATATAAACGATCGGCGTTAAGTGAGAGTGAAGTGAAATATTTATTATAAGAAAACTAAGAAAATACATTGTATATATTATATACTTAGATAAGTTTACGTCTTCATACGCAGATTAATCATAAAGACATAAAATAACAACAACAACAACAAAAGACGCGGAAATGGATTATATTGTGAAAGCTTACAAGGACTGGAAATTGCATTCGCAAGTAAGTAGAAATGAATATACATACATATTTATATACCTATATAAAGAGTATCGAGTGATTAAGCTATCAAGAGTGCTTGAAATATCTTCAGATAGGAAAAGTTCCCAGCTGCAACCCGAACCAGCTGACTGCAGTAAATTCTTATACAAAATATGTATATACATACATACATACATGTTTCCCTTTACTAGCCCGACACCAAAGCACATTATACCCACTTTCTCAGTAGCTACAGGGTATACAAATTATAATATATATTTAGAGATCTTTGGGGTTGAGCTAGGTTAGGTTACAAATTACACGTATTTAAATGATATTACATTCAATTCGTTTTCACGTAATTTAGTGAAGAGAAAAGTTGTTGGTTGACTAGAAAATACCCTCTGAAACAGATTGAACTGCAAGATTGTAGTAAAATAGATCAAACTAGCTGACAGAAACTAAGAAAACTTATATTTGAGGTTGATGAGAAATATATGGGGATTGTTTGTATGTATATAAAATATATCTATGTTGAAAAGTATTCTTAAAGATACCCATTCAAATATTCATTTCTGATGGTCTTGCAGGGTATTTTATGATTCGGTAAATCAGAGTTTATCTTCCAGATTAGCTTAGGTCTAAAATGTCATCTGAGTGCACCAAGATTAAGCAAACACACAAAAATCGCAAATTGCCATAAAAACGAAAACGAATTGAGAGCACATTTCTGCCAAATGATTATATGCATGTATGTATGTATATATATATTTAATGTATATACATATATAAAACTGTACACATATACATACATGTATGTATATTCGTTTATAAGAGCCACGCTGTGAAGTCATGGCAGTTCCTCGTGGCCGTTAACTTCTGTGAGCTTAAAGAGTAAAAAAAAAGTTTATATATAGACTTGTATATGTAAGTGTGTATATGTGTGTGTGAATGTGGGCAACAATCATGTCAGACAAAGTCAGACTCAGATCTATTCAATACACACACACACACAGAGAGACTGCAGAAACTGTTGCTGAGGCCCCTGACGAGGTGCTTAACCGCATTTAAAAATATATTTTTTTTACCAACGTCAGTTGTGGGCAAAGCCGCAGTAAGAGACGCAGCAACCGCCGCAGCAGCAAAGCACAAAATAATAAATAATTCTCTTGAAATACGATCGTGTCGAAATGCTCTCGCATTACCCAAGAAAAACCACTTTGAATGCAACGTTACCTTTTGGTATTTTCAGTGCCTAAGTACCCTGTAATTGTTGAGCAAAACCACCAATGCAGTCTCAGTAGACAGACAGAACATAAAATATCCGTCGATATCGATTATAAATAATCGCTAATTAGTTTATAATATTGAATAAGAGTTTATATATGCAGGCCAGCTACACTGACATAGATTTACTATGTCAATAACTCTTTTTGCACCCAAAGCCAATATTCCATCATAGCTTGCCGTTCCTGCATGTCGATAAATATCGATAAATATAACTTGCACTGCCATACTGTATGCCATATTATTGAGGGTATCTGTTAGCTTAGGCATTATCAACACGTCCAAAAGTTTTGCAAATGCCACCAAAGTGTGCAGCACGGTTTTGGCTACGGCCTCAACTCTGGCTGCGACTGCGACTATGGCTGTGAGCCGGCTGCTAGTGCGGATCGTGGCCAGCGAACCAGGCGATGAGTAAGCCAAGAGGCACCAGCGAAACGACAACAGCCATCAGACAAGGGGCAAGAGGCAACAGTTAGCAATCGCACATCTGGCCTAAAGCAAAAAGGCAGCAGGCCAACCAGTCAGCCACTCAGAGAGTCGGCCAGTCAGCAATGCGGCCAACTTGCGAGACTCTGTCTGAATTGCAAATGAGTGCAACGAGCGAATAAAGCCAAATGCATTTAGGCACGTTATGTGTGTGCGTTGCCACTTCTTGATATACCCTGTACGCACTGTGAGCATGGGAGATACCTAAAGTATATGCAGATATACCATAGATGCCTTACCGGTGACAAGTTGTTGGGCTTACCCCATCAATTTTGAGTCAACTTAGATTATGCGAAAAATTATCGAAGTAGTTTTAGCTACAGCTAGCTATGTCAGCTCATCGAACGAGTATTGCGCAATTGAGTGGACCCGATTGCAGTGGATTTTGTGGCTGTTGCCAGTTTTATTGCTAATTAGGCCAAATCACATGATAAACACATAAATAAAAACGAAAACTCGCAATTGCAATTTGTACGTTTCATTGTTGGTTCGGCTGACTGGAATGCGCCCGATATGCGTTCTATAAATATCCTTAGCCTTGGGCTGGGCCCGCACCTTCGCTGGGTTCAATGGCCAAACCTTCAAGCCAACTTGCCGCGCTAAGAACCTGGCCGTGGGCCGGTTTTACAAAGCTTTGCCCAAGTGGACGCCATTTTGAAGAGTCTTTTCTTTTGACGCTTCGCTAGAGGCCCAAAGCGTTCGCATGCCTGCAGTGAATACCCACTTTTCTTTTCAGCAGTGAATATCAGTAACTCAGAAATAGATTAAAAATCAATTTAAAGTTCGCTCTAGCCAGTATTTTCAGTTTCCCTTAGCGAGTACTCACTGTGTGGGCACCTGGCTCTGCCCTTTCGGGCACTACTTAGCCAGAGACCTTTCGGCATTCCAATTAGAGCCATGGGGTATTCAGGGTTATTCGGTGCTATCAAATTATTCAGTGCGTAAAGTCGTTCAAAACTATTTCCATGGTAATTTCTTAGGTTCCCTCTGATACAGCTGAATTCAAGTGGGCGTCGGCTGACTCAGTTTGAAGTGGAGAAGGTCTTGTCAATAGGGTTTTTATTTATCTGTAGTATTTCCAAAGTTAGACCGGGGCTCTGTGTTTCCTATTGCAATTCCTGTTCTAACCAGTTCGCTTGGCATTATCTTTGACGTATTTGTTTAATAACCAATTTAGCCATATTTATTTTTTTCCCTCCAACCGGTTTGGCATGCTTGCAAAAGACAAAACGACAACAAAATCATTCGACAACTTACATTTGAAAATACAGTGAGGCGCGCTTTAAATGTAAAGTTAATCTGAAATATATACAAGATTAAATATCAATGTTATATTAGCGGATATTGGTGTTAAGCTTAGGTAGAGTCCGCTGTAATGGTGTAGAAAATAAAGAACTGGAGGGTTTAAAGCAACAAATGTGATAAATATCATAATTCGTCTTTTATATTTATGAGTTCTAAATAAATAGGTATTCATCTTAGTGAGACTTTGCTGTAGTATTCAGTAGTAGGCTTCAATGTTGTTATCGAGAAGACCAATCATCAAAGTCATTCGAACTAATTTGGCAGTTATCATATTTTGAACTGCCTTGAGAAGAACCGATGGAATGTAAATATAAATGTGACTGTAAACCTGAGTGTGAGTGTGAATGTGAATGTGCATGTAGTATCAATGCCGTAAACGTGTCTTTTTTACTGAAATTCCAAGCGATACCTTTTCTTTCTATATGTATATCTCTGTCTATTTATCTACATGTCTCCTTCTCTCAGTAATGTTACCGTTTCTTTGAAGCGTTTTGAAAAATTCGCTTTGTTTAATTATTGCCCCAATATGGAATCGAGATTGGCTATAAATAGGTCTCCAGGCAATCTAATCTCTGGTCTACTTTACCCAATAAAAACTGCGAAGTTAAATTATAGTCACTTTATATATATGTATATATAATATATATATATATACATATATATAAAGTAATAAATTATATATCAACACTTCAAGAAATCTTTGAACTCGACCAATCTAAAGGCAAATAAAATTAAAATCTTGCCAATAATCAATCAAAAACTCAAATGAAGATTGATTATATACATATATTCTGAATAAATATTTCTATGTCTAGAAATGAAAAAGCTAACGGCAATCGCTTATAATTGAATTTGTTATTAATCGCAGTTTGTTTATGGAAATACTATAGAAATACACATATGTACATATATACGTAAATCAAGTTGTAAAGCAATTTAACTACAAATTCACAAGTACAGTAAACACTTCAATTAAGACTGATTCAATGTCTTCTCGCTAAATCGCTAAGAAATGAATTAAAAACAGAAGAACTGAGATTTACTAACGAGAATCGATGTCTTCGTCAATAGATCTAGATACATACGTACATACGTATATTTGCGCTTCTTATACACCTAATGTTTGTGTTTCTATCTCTCAAAGACAATAAAAAACTGATAAACATTATTTATAATATTATTGATAGATATATTATTCCTGCCCAAGTTCCCATCAGTTTGATATATATTGGTTGGTTATATATGGCCCGGTGCAAAAAGGCGTTCCGTCAAAAGGGAATTCATAGTTTGAAATATTATAGAAGTCACGTTGAATATTTTTTGTTGCAGCACGTAACAGATGTCTCCAGTAACGGGGTAGTACGTAGTTGCGCTCTATACGTATATACTATAAGTGTGAGCTTAACTAGTGAATGACGTTGCCCTTCAATTGAGCAAACAGAAAGCTAAACACCTTAATCAACAGAAGCATATAGAGACATATTATATATGCTCACTCGTATCTTGAGAGTACTAAGAAGCCATCCATTAAATTTATTAGAAAATATATGTACACGAAGCTATATAAATAAACTTAATACCCCTTAAGATTGTGGCACTTAGGCTGTTTGGCATGGGGCTTTACACTTTCAAGTGCAACGCGCGGGCTATACAATTGATATGGCGGAACGATTTGAGCCTGATGTATAGAGTGTCGGCAAAGTGATCTGATATAAGACCCGACAATTGATAACAAACATGATGAAGCATATAAGGCTATGTTCGTCTGTTTCCTGGCATTACCAGGCAGGTGTGCCAATGCCTCAAGTACAGGTACAAGTTATTGCTCGCTGAGTAATGATTTGACAATCTCTGTAGTAGCTCTCTGCAGTAGATACAAGTCATTATCAGTTAATTAAACATGTTAGCCAGAAAAATATTAGAGATGAGAGCATTACCGACATATCGATAGATGAAGTTAATATTCCAAAGAAACACGATTTATAGCACGATCTCTGACTCGTGTCACGCTTGCAGCTCACTCTAGTTAGCTGTTCTTTTAGAAATTAGAAACTGGAGAAGTGTATATCGAATTTCGATCTAACACATCTTCCGAGGCGCATAGTTTATTTTAGAGCTAGATATCAGCTTTGTCATATCCAAGAATTAAAGACGTCCTCGTGACAAAAACTCCAATTGTCACATACTCAGTTTACATTGTTGTTGTTGGGCGACAATTGAATCCACTGGTAGATAATGCACAGTTCAGATTGACACGAAAACTGATTGAAATCAGAAATCAACAACATCGTATCACGCTCACAGCTCTATATCATAGATCTTGCCTTACACCACAATTGGACTTTGTGTGTGTGTGTGTGTTAATAAAAACGTTCCATTTCGCAGTTGTCATGCATAATAATAATAATAACAATATCTAAATTGATATGTGTAAAGCTTCTTATATTTGAGTCACGTACGATTTGGTTCAGTATTTTCGTTTTCGTTTTCCTTTCGGTTGTTTTTTGTATTTTTATCAATTCGCAATTTCCTATTTTGTTAATTTTAATTAATACTAAAGATAGTGCGACAGCTAAACAGAAACAGTGACTGCCATAAAGCTTACCTCAAGTGTTACTTCAATTTGACCTTCGTCTAATAATTTGTGTGCGCTTGCACGAATCCATAAATTTCTGACATACTTACATAAACAACAACCAAACAAACAACGACAGCAGCAACAAATTCGAAGTAGATATCATTAAATTTATGGCATTTGCCATACGAATATATATGTTAGTCACTGTTGAAAGCCGATTTGATTAGCCAACACTATCGATTTCGACTCCGGCTCTGTTATCGATCTGCTGCAATTAGCTGTCTGACCTTCGGGCTCGATAGGAGTATCCCGAATGAGTTCTTGAACTTCTTTGGTCGACGCCACGTCGCGTCGTCCATTCGTACTACTGAGTCACATGCATCGCATGCCATCTTGTCTGACACTTCCATTTAGCAACTCTTTCGGCTGTCTAAATTTGGGCGAAATCACACGCTGGTCTTTTGATAGACATAAACAATTAGACAATAAGCAATTATCACTTTCGGCGCACAGCTTGTCGTCTGGTCTGCGGTCACTGAAAAATCCCCTTTTTCATATACCCATTAAAAGTGAGCAGAAATGGGGAAGACCTTTTTTTTATAAGACAAGCTTTGTCATAAGGCATTTAAAAAATATGTACAGAAAAGAAGTCCTTTTGCATTTATGTATGTATATTTTCAGTCAAATTTTTGAGATACGTCTCGCATTAGTATACGTATACGACCATATAAAAGCAATTTAGATCTATTTGGACTCAATAAGTTTCAACAATCGATAGCAGCGATTTGCCGCTAAACATTTATAAAAATATAACTTGTATATATTATGATAATGTAGGATATCTACTAGTCGACTTTTTTCCATTGTTTAGTTTGTGTTTATCATTTCAATTATGATTGTAATTAAAAACAAATTCATGTTTATGGGGAGTATATTCTGGGCGATCGCCGTTGAACGAAGTCCACTCATTCGATTCTTTTGTGGGTGGCGATTGTTCATCAAGAGATCAGTTCCCCACTGCATGGACAAATATAACATACAAACATCAAACATGCACATATACATATATGCACAGATACCTATAGATCTGTATGTATGCGTGTGTATATCGAAATCCCATTGAGGGAAACCCGGCGCGTGACTAGCTTCTGCGATTGTGTATGTCAATGACCGTTTTTTTCTGTCTATTCCAAATCTATGCGAAATTTAGGTGAAACTGTTTTGAATTGTCATCTATGATAGTCGCTGAATGGGAAGTGCTTATCTGTTAAACAGTTATTATTTACCCTGCATACAGTAAAGTGCTGTCTCTGTCTCTCTCATCCGCACTCATACTTTCGCTTTTTTCTTATGGCCATCGTATATTGCTATTGCAGAAAAGTTTGACAATAGTTGCGACGACTTTGTTGTTGACCTTACGGGCACAATACATGTAAATATGCCAGCATTTATGTAGATGTACATATAAATGGACATACATATGTATGTTCTGTCTTGGAGGAAGTAAATGCAGTTCTGTTCTATAAGTTGTCTTGCAATAATGCATTAATATTGCAAATCAAATATGGAGGTATCATTAATAAATAAAGTCACATGTTAATTAAAAGTCTTGCCGGCGATTCGTTTCAAATAATTTCCATATGCAACCCAACAGGCCAGCTGCTTTGTCTTTGTTGACTGCTAGCTGCTTGGTCAAACAGGTTTAAGCCTAACAACAACATATACAATGCACACATTGAAAGGCGCTTACGTTGCTTCAGCTATCACGTGAACAAAAAAAGATTATTACCTCTCGTAAGCAATAAAAACAAAAACAGTCGCAAATTAACATTTGAGCAAAACAAAAATCAACACAAACAAAAACACGCGCTCAACGCTTACCATTACAACTCTGTGTGCAGCTTGAGTGCAGCAATCGATAACAGTTTGAGCGTGGATCTGCAGTAGCGATGAATCTGGCGTGACACGGTGTGCTAGCCTCTTCAATGGCCATTGTTAGGGGCCGAGAACAAAAACAGTCTATCGTGCTTTTTTATTGAATATTAACAAATTTGTCATCTCTAGTGTGCTTTGGTATTTTTGAGGTTTGCTCAATTGAGTGCTACGGGCACACTGACAGTACAACTCACAATGACAACAACAACTTGTAAACACATAGTAAACGCAGCTGTAATTCAACGGCGCTGAAAAAAAACTAAGCAAAGTAGAAAACAGAATTACAATAAATTATTGCCACAATAAAAGCAAGTGAATTCAATTAGGGCGAACGTCTGCATTGCTTGAGTAAAATGTGTCTATAAATTGAATGAATAGCTGAAACTGCATTAGTTTTGCTACAGTTTTCGGTTTCGCTTGGTTGCGTTCACCGTTTCGAGGGAGTTCAGGTGAGTCAGGTGAATGGGGCTCCTCCAATGAACAAATCACAGAAATCGCCTGTGCGCTATTTATAATTATAGAAACACACACATGTGTGTATTCGCAAGAGTAACGGTAAATCAATGACATCATAGCGACAGTTGCCAAAAACGAAAAGCAAACGAAAACAAAAACAAAAAGAAAAGCAAATAAAGAAACAAGTGCAATTGTACACAGTTAATTAATACTTTCCCCCTTTCACTTTGCAGTTTCAAGAGATCGTGCCTGATATGGATGACAGCGAATTCATGTTCAACGAAAAACAATCGATACGCGACTCCTCACGCACCCTCAAGAAATATGGCAGCACCTGCTGCAACAATCTGAGAAACAATGAAATTCTTATACGACACACTGTGGAAAAGACGGACACACTGCAAGGAATTTCGCTCAAATACGGCGCCACGGTATGTAAACATTGATTATAAAGTATCCCAATGCAATCTGTGGGAGTTATATGAAATAAAAGTTATGGCGTGCCATAAAACATTGATTTAAAATGCATAACGTCGTCTATGCGAGGGTAGTATAAAAGGTTGCTGTTGTAGCTCAAAGTGAGTTGAAAGATTAGATACAAAGTGAAAACAATAAAATGTTATATAATCAGCAAGAATTTTGAAAAATATTTAAGTGTGAATACATGGGTGAGGTAATGGGACAAATCACTGTTAAAGCTCAATATTAAAATAAATGAGGACATGTTATATTATAATATCACAAGAATATATATGCATTAAAGCCTTACGAATTTAGAATTAATCAGCCTACCCTCGCATACATCGTATATACTAAACAAGCAACACTTCCCATCCAACACTTGATTTGTAGGTGGCAAGCTCTGTAACTTGCAATGGCTTCTTTTTATAGTCGTTCACAAAGTGAATGGAGAGTATATTAGCATCGTGTAATATACACATATTCGATGAAAGTCGAAAGGCAATTTCATCCATACACTCGTCCCATCAAATTATTGTAAGTGAGGTTATTTATTTATTTAAAAGGGAAATTAAATTAAGAGTACTATCGATTTTAAAATTTGTAAATCTCTTTTTGCATTATGAGCGAGTATTGGTCAGTCACTTTCCAGCTTGTTGGATTTCTTTGTGTCGTGTTGCATGCAAACTGTAGACAATTTCAAATGTCAGCTAACTTTCAACTTTATCGATTTAATAAGTAGATGGAAAGACCCAGTCAGTCGCTTGACATGGTTTACACAAATAAGATAGCATTAGGTGGAGGCAGGGGGATGTTGGGAGGGGGCCCAGCAAGAGGTGAGGTTGGTTGCTGCACTGCAGCAGCGGGCGACCTACGACCGCTCGTCTAATATTTTATCATTGTTTGAGTTTTGAGTCTTATCAAGGAATTTTAAGCTGAAGGAAATGCTGCAGCCAAATGTGCCGACAGTTTGCTGCATATCATTTGCTAGTATACATAAACATATGCATACATACATATCTATATAAATATATATAGTTAAGAATCTGTGTCAACATTTGATCAGCTAATGAAATGATAATGCTAAGGGAAAGAAACAACTGAATTGTATATATATGTTTAGCCAGCTTACCTAGCTAATTAATCATCATCGTGATTCGCATTTGACAAAAGCGAGTCGTGTCCACTCAGTCATAAATCAATCACTCGAGCAATAAGTCAATTAGATATCAATTTATAAGTTGCTAATCTCTTAAGTGTAGAGACTCATTTATTGTTAGCTTAAATATTAGCTAGATATCGTTGCTTATTGATAGGTATATATGTATATTAATATATATATTATATATATGTATTATGTAAAAGAAATAATAAACACATATAAAGCTTAAGAGGAACAATTTTCTGAAATTCTTTGTGAGCTGAGCTGGCGTTCATAATCTGAGCTTTCACTGTAATAGACAGATACTCAGCTATAGATGCCGCTTATTATAATTATACACAGATCGAATAACAATGTGTATATATATTTCTTATATCCACAGACGGAACAAATACGCCGTGTCAATCGCCTCTACGCCTCGGATAGCCTCTTTTTGCGTCAGTTCTTGCTCGTGCCCGTGGAGAAGACGTCACCCTACAATTTGCAGGCAAATGGGGCTGACCTGCTGGCCGATGCACTGGCCTCGCCGCCCACCACGCCCGATGTGAATGTGCAGCGCGAAGCGTTGAACAATGCAAACAATTTGAGCCAAACAAATTGTTACAGCAGCAGCAGCAGCGGCAGCAGCAACAGCTGCAACACCAACATCTCGTCCAGCTCGTCTAGCACCCGCTCCGGCCAGCTGCACGGCACACCGCGTCCATATTCAATTGCCGGCGAGCTGCTGGTGCAGCCCGGCGATGAGGATCCAGCTCTAATGCTGCACAATCACAATGCCACGTGTAGCACCAAGCAGAGCAAGTCCCTGGACTCGGTGGCCGCGATGACGCCCGAGGAGGAGAATCGCAAATGCATGAATGATTTCCTCAACAAGATAGACAACACGATATCCGAGTCGCGCAAATATGTTGAACGCTCCAAGGAGTAAGTGTTAAAGACCCCCAAAAAGTGCTGCTCAGCTATAGACAGAAATAAATATGTTGTAGAAAGATATTGATGTGGGCGATGTGGGATAGCTAAAAAGCTATAATTGCTGCAGATCTTAGAGTTTATATTCTGTAGGAAACATATTTCGAATTTCAGTTCCTTAAGCAACTCCATTTTTTTATTAAAATCAAAGATATCTCAGAACAGCATTTGGTATATCAGAGAAAGGCTTCAGCTGTAGTTCACATTTGAGATTTTTTCCCACTGTGGTGATCAGCAGGAGCTTTCTCCTGGTTTGTCCTTAGCTGGTAGCACTGACTTAAAATCAAAGAAATCTTTCTCATCATTTATTTAACCCTCCTGTGTCTCTCCCCCATCCAGCTTGATAAATAGTCAAAGTGATGTGGACCTTTGCATCAGTGCCACAACGGACGTGTTTCCACAGCGCCGCAATCATCAGTTGAACAACTCCTACAAGAACAACAACCACAATGGCAGCAACAACAACAACCGTCCGCCGCACCACCAGAGGCACAGCTCGACAGGCAGCGGGAATTCGGACACGGCGCAGCTTCTCAATACGACGCAGACGCGTCGAGTGCAAAACTCCTTGAAGCGCCTGGAGAAGCAGCAGGATGATTTCTTCGAGTTGTAGCAGCTGAGCGAGGCGCTGCGTAGCATTAACCATGCGCTACGACATTACAATTAATTAGAATTACTGTGCGGATGAGAGATATCAAACAAGAGAGCGATACGAGAGAAAGTTAATTTTACAAACTGTTTTTAAATCTGCGGCGCAGCTCGAAACGCTGCACTAAATGTAAATTATATAAATACAAGAAGAGCAAGGAAGATAAAACAATACATACGTACACCTATATACTATATACCACATATATATAGATATGTTAAGCGCTACGCTATTTAAACCTGTACTATATACATATTCACACGCAACATACTATCGTATAAATAATATCTATGTTATATTTTGATCTTATTGTTAGTCCAACTGTTCAGCCCTTGTAATTGCCGCCAATTTGCTTGCAAAGTCTGTTTCCTTCCCCACTTCCTCCCCAAAGTCCTTTTTTGTATGTGTTAGCTTTAAATGAAATGCGTACTTTTAGCTATGAGAATTATTAATCTTAATTCACTCACACACACACACACACCAACACCCTCCACACACACACACATGCGCTTAGTATTTAGTTACAACTACAATACGGTTTAACATAACTTGACTGCTCTTTGGCATAAACTGTTTGCAAAACTTTAATTGGCCGATTATAACTGTTACATAAATGTTAAATATATATATAAATATAAATATTAGTTTACTCGTTAACTTTAATTATATTGCTTCTTATCTTTTCTATTACTTGTATTATCCCACACAGAGTTCTGTCCTCATCTATCCTAAGGCCAACTAAAATATGCAAATCATGTTGTATGAGAAGATTTTATAAATAACAAAATAAAGTAAGAATGTGTTAAAAAAAATCAATGACGTTATTTTATAATATTGTAGGAAAAGAATATAGATTATGTAGGTCTCTTTAAAGATATTAGAATTTTTATGTTTTGCCCGATCTCTGGTTGTTTATTGTTTTACTTCCATTTTATTATAATAGGACCTAATATAATATAATAATTGCTAAATCATATACGGCCTATAGGAACTATCAGATCCCTTAAATGTGCTAGGCATCGCACTTCCTTTAGGTAGGTCAAGCCATGGAATTCCAAACTAACGCATGCGCAGCTGTTCACCTGTGTCACCAGGGCAACGCTTAGGGCCAAACAAACAAAAAAAAAAAAAAAAAGTTGTTCTGGAAAAACAACTTTGAATTAATATTAACTAAAGTACTTGTGACCATGTCGGAGCCGGAGCTGGATGCAGCTGTTATTAAAGCCACACAGCAAAGCCTGGGCAAGTGGATCAAGAAGCCGCCGCTAACAGAGAAGCTGCTGAGGAAGCCTCCATTCCGCTACCTCATGGACATCTTTACAGCGGTAAGACTTTGGCCATGGAACTGGTTCAATTAAGCTCTGCTTAGTTTATTAAGGAAACGGGCTGTCTTGAGGGTCTCTATACGCCGGAGGAGCAACTCTTTGAAAACATCAATGATCGGTAAGGCACCCTTAACAGAACGAGGCTAAACTTAGACTAACTAAATCAATTCGAACAGCAATGACAAAATGCGGTTCCTGCAAAAGATGATCGATGTCACAAGTGAGTTCGGCTGCCCGTATTGACGCAAGCGTACCCTAACTAATCCAGAGATTCATTGCAGAGCTTACGACGAAGCAGGATCTCAAGGTGCGCACCTCCAAAATTGTGGCCGGCCATGAGCCGAAGCTGACGAATGAGCTGCTACAGGCTATGGCCAGCATAATGGAGCAGCGTCTGGAATGGCGTGATGCAGTGCAGCAAGTTTTGGCCAAGGAGACCGAAAAGCCTAAGCCAGTGAAGGCAAAGGAAGGCAAGCTGAGCAGCAAGCAAATCTCTCCAACTGCCAAGGAACAGCCGATGGCACGCAAGGAGAAGCGCATCTCGCCCCAGGAGCAGAAGCTGCGGAAAGCAACGGATCAGGTGACCCAGGACAAGGAGAAGAAGCCTCAGCGCCGGCATAAGCCCTCTCCGGAAGCGGAAGCCAAGCCCAAGCCGAGCCGGCAGAGCTCCAAGCACAAGACTCCATCCCCTGTAAAGCCCCCAGGAAAAGTTAAACAAGCTTCAACAGACAGCGAAGCAAAGTCCATGTCGCCGGCTCCTGCTGCACCGGCTCCGCCCGCTCCGCCCGCTGCACCCGTTACACCTGCAGCAGATGCCCCCGCACCTGTCAAACTACCCTCGCCTGTCGCCTCACCCAAGCCAACTAGCGCCCCGCAGAGTCCTCCGCCCAATGCTCAACAGCTGACGGCGGAGCCTGCCGAGCCGGAGAGCCGCAAGTCCTCTGGCAAAAGTCGGCGCTCCAGTGCCACTCAGCGCGCAGCGCCGACCGAACCGGATGTTGCATTGGTCAACAACGAGGCTAGCGAGCAGAGCCAGGCCTCCACTGTTCCCATCTCCGACTCCACACATCACAATAACAGCAACAACAACAACAGCGAAGTCAAGCGCGAAGGCACCTTTACGCGCGATAACTCGAAGGAATCGAACGGCTCCTTGAGTCGCCCTCGCACCTCGCTGCGGCCGCCCAGCGCACGTCCCGCCTCGGCACGGCCTGGAGCACCACGGCGTCGCAACGTGGAAATTGTGCTGCAGCCGAACGACCAGCTGAAGATGTCGGGCATCAATGTTAAGCTGGAGACCTTTGGGGACTTTGATGACGATGGCGAGAATTTGGTGGTCATCGAGGATGCTAATGCGCATGACATAGACACGGGTACAGCGCAGGCCACGTCGGATATGGATGCACAGCAGCAGGGCCAGGGCCGTCTGGTTCAGCAAATATTGGACACTCAGAAGGAGCTGGTTGCTTCGCAGGTAAGCGAACCAGACAAGGAGGACGCTCAACAGACGCAGAAGACGCCATCGGCAGGCACGCGCCATAGCTCGGCAAGGCAAGTGAACGATCTGCGGGATATCATACAGACCCTCACCAAGTCCGTGAATCCGCTGGGTAAGCTTCTGGACTTCTTACCCGAGGACATCGATGCCATGCAGCTGGAGCTGACCATGTGGCGGGAAGCCTACACCCAGGCAGCGGCTGAGCTAAAGCGGGAGAGAAGCCTCACGGCCTCCGCAACGGAGCCCATAAAGCAGCAGCTGCTCTCCATAGAGGCCAGCATTGACGAGTACAAGGACCTGGTCGACGAGAGTCGTCAGAAGATTCTGCAGAACAACGAGCGACTGCTCAAAATGCTGATGGAGCAATGATATAAGAAATTACATATGCGAAGGCAGCTTGTGGCTCTTCAGGCTACCCTTGCATAATAGAGTGCATTAATCTATAATAGTCCCTAGAAATGTTATAGTTGCAGTACGTCGCGTAAATAAATCTATACTCAAATTTCTCCCCGCACCTTTTGGCTATAGCTTTTTCAGGTCAAAATGGGCTACGATAGACTCAAATGAGAATGTTAATGCATATTTATCGGTGTAAATAGTATATTTAATAAATTGCTTTTAAAAAAATAGCATATAGAAATATCGCATGTAAATTGTAAATAACAGTTCAGTGGGTGGTACATTATAATCGTTCATTATTTAAGGTCACTTAGTGTGGAAACCGAAACCAACATGCTTAAACAAATTAAATAATAGGTACTTCACACCGGGGGCTATTTTCCATTTCATGCATAAGGAATTGCATGTCATACTGCCCGACTGGTGAATACCCTCTACAGGTATTTACAAATAGGATGCAGAGTTATCCTAGGCCTCAGCTTCGTCAGCTTCATCCTGTCTAGTGGCCGAGTCCGATTTGTCTCCATCATGCTCCTTCTCTTTGCCCTTGTCTGTCTCCTGATCCTCATCCTGCTCCTGGTCTTGATCCTCGTCGCCTAGCACATACTCAATAACATCGTCGATGGGAAAGTTGTTGAGCAGTGCCTTTATGGAATCATTGTGAATGACAACAGTGAACAGGAGCTTGCAATATTCACGCATGCGACTGCCGTAGTCCAACTCGGCATAGGCTTCGCTGCCCTTGGCCAGATCGTGTCCACAATTCTCAATGACCTTGCACAGCACCGACTCCTCGGAGCTGTTGGGCCAGTCGTACTTCTTGAGTGTCTGCGGATCGACCAGCATGTCGATTAGTTTCGCAATGTTCTCCTTCAGCTTAATATCCTCCTCAGTGAGCACCTCGCCGTTGAACTCATCCTCGCTTGACGGCTCATCTAGATTATCCGCAATTGCAGCGGCTAAGCTGGCGGCCAACGATTTACGCTGCTCCTTCTTGACAGTCGGCGACACAGCCGACTGTGGCTTCTCCTTGGACTCGGCCTTAACATCGCCGCCTTCAGCCGTCGGTTCGGCTGTGCTGGCCGCACCCTCCAAGGGCAATATGGTGTACACCTCGTTTTCGAGCACAATGGTCTGCGCATTACCATCGCCCTCATCCACCAAGAACTCACGTACCACGACTCCGTTGTCGTCCGTTTTGCTGGAGATGAGTGATCCAGCTGATGTATTGGCAGCCGTCGTTTCCTTTTCCTGGTCTTTCTCTTCGTTCGCCTCATCTTCGTCATCGACCAGCACGACGGCCTTTTTGGTAGCTTTGCGCTTGGCAGGGGGCTCTGTACCGAAAATATCATCCGGATCGCACTCGTGCACATTGCGTATATGATTACGGAGAGTGTCAGTGCTGTCGAAGTTCTTGTCACAAATGGCACAGTCCGTGCGCTCGATCACCTTGGCCGAACGTTTAGCCCGAGTCGGCTTAGCAGCTGTATTTCACAAGTATTCGAAATCAATAAGCGAAAGATATTGCATGCGATATTATAAGGAAACTTACGCGAATGATCGCCAGCGTCCATGTGCTCCTTGAGCAGTGCGCTGGTGCGGAAACTTCGTGTGCATTCCGTGCAGGCAAACGAGGGGCGTTTCTGACGCGAGTGTTCCTTGACATGGCGCTCGAGCCTGGGTTAAAAGTATCAGGTTAACTACTGATAAGAGATTGACTAGATTGCCTCCCACTTACTGTTTCTCTGTTTTAAACTTTTGAATGCACAATGAGCAGGAGTAGGGACGCAGGTGCGTCTTGGAATGCGTGCGCAGCTGTGTGGCTTGTATGAAACTTTTGCCGCACTCGTTGCACTTGTGCGGACGCTCGCCCGTGTGCCGTTTCATGTGGCGATTGAGCACCTCCTTCACCGCAAAAGATTGACTGCACTGCGAATGCAGAGGGCAATAAGAATTAATCAGGACTCCAAATACTCCACTTACAACAGCTGCTTACCACTGTGCAGGTATAGGGCTTCTCGCCCGTGTGATAGCGACGGTGTTTCTTGAGCGCTACCAAAGCCGAAAACTTCTTGTCGCACAAATCGCAATCGAACGGCTTCTCGCCCGTATGTGTGCGTATGTGAATGCTGCAAGAGAATTAGGAGAAATAGATATTGACGCGAATAGCAGTCCAATCAGGACAACTCACTTGAGCGTGGACAGACTGTAGAAGCAGTTCTTGCACACGTGACACATGTACTCCGGTTTCTTCACCACCTGGGTTCCCAGATGCTGCTTGAGATGGGCGCGCAAATTGTCTAAGCGATAGAAGACACGGTCGCACACCTTGCAGCTCATGGTGTCGTTCTCGTTGGCCGAGCACGATGAATACTTCTGATGGCGCTTCAGATGATACGAGCGCGTAAAGTCCTTGCCGCAGATCTTGCAGGCGAAGGGCTTGCCCCTGGACTGGTGCTGCTGCTCGTGCAACTTCAGCAGCGCAGAGCTGCGCAGCTTGGCATTGCAAATGGAGCATGGAAAATCGTTGAACTCCGAGTGCGTGATGAAAATGTGACGCTCATAGCTCGTTTGCGTTTTGAACGACTTGGGGCAGTCGGGACAGTTGATGTGGCCCAGCTGGAAACGGATATCAAATGGCGATTAGATATAATTTAGATTGGGAATAGAATTGCAGTTACATGAAAAGTGTCGTAGCTCTCGCTGCAACAGAAACAGATGTCCTTCTTCTCCATAACTACAGCGTCGCGCTCAATCTTGTCCAGGTTCTTGAGCATCTCCGCCTTGCGCAGGTGGTAGCCACTGTCGTAGCGGCAGAACTCCAAATGTTTTTTCAGACTCTTGACGCGACGGAATGTCTTGTAGCATTTGCCGCACACGTGCTCGACCATTTCTTTGAGCTCATTGTTGTTGTTGCTGTTGCCGCTTTTGCGCTTTGTTCCGCTAGCACCTCCGCTTGGCCCATCCTCGTCGTCATCGTCATCGTCGTCGTCATCATCATCCTCAACACCAGACACCACAAACTCTTCGCCATTCTCTTTGGCGGTATCGCCGAGCTCAACATCATCGTCGGCCAGTATGAAGTCAATGGTGTCATCATCCTCGACCACCACGACACTTGTCGTGTTATCCGCTTTGCTGTTCTCGCTCTTGATAGCCTGCAGGACGTAATGATCCATCTTCTTCTTCTTGCTGGGCGATGTCTTTATCTTGGCCGTTTCCATTGCTGCGGCAGAGGGGCCAATTCGCTTCTCATTTAGTATTTTCACACCTGGACTGGCAACTTTGGGCGTGGCACGCTTCTCACCGGCTTTCGAGCTGCCCTGGGCTTCATCGTTGTTGAGTATCTTGATGCTGGTGCGCTTCTCCTGCTTGGGTCGAGTGGCCTTTGCAGTCACCTCGTTGAGTAGCTTCAATCGTGTGCCAGTTCGCTTCGTCTTCAGCGAAACCATTTTCTCCACGTCCATTACTCTGATGACGGGTGTACTCGCCTCTTTGCTGGCGGTAGGGGCTGCGCCGGCGGCATCTTTGCTGGCGCTCATTGTCGATACCTGTGAAAAGATGCAGGACACCAAGGATCAGTGACGTTGCGTAGGTTAGCCTACTTTCAGGCTCGTGATTTATTTTGAATCGATCTCTTTGCCAGAGCGTCACGTCAGCAACGCCTAGAAGCAGCGCACAATAAAAATGGCGGCCAGTCACCGATCGACAGCGAGAGCGAGCGAGAGCACGCTACGTGCTTCGTTACGACAAAAAGAAAAAGAAACGCAACAAGTTCTCTCGCTCTGTGAATGTTTGTGAAAAATAAATTTAGGGTTGAAAATAATTCGAATATAAGAATTTGAAAATTGTTGCATACTTTTCAAAATTGAATATTTTTGTTGCCGGCTTTAAAGGAATCTCGTTTCTATAATAATTGGAACACCACTCAATGCCAATTTGCAGATTTAAATTAGACTTTATTTTACATTTGCGTTACAAAAATACGCATGCACACACACATACACAGCAGTGTAGTTTCTCTAATTAAATGTGAAACTTGCGCCAATGGAAGTCATACGTCGTCTGAAGTCGTCGATCTGATCGACAGTAACGAGATGCAACAGATGTATGGGCAAAACAGTTGGCGAGAGCGAGAGAGATAGCGTAGGTTTGTCATACACTCTTTTATGTTATTCACAATAACTGAAGACGAAGTGTAAATGTTTTTGTTTTTTTTTTTTTTTGTTAAATTCTCAATTGAAAAAAAATCTTTTGAATGCTTTTGCATCCACTTATTTAATACAATTCACTCACAGTTTACAGCTCGTGCGACGGCACGTAAGCGTACACAATGGCGTTAGCGTCTGGCTATTCACAATGTTCGTAGACAGGCAAACAGCTGTGCCGACTTAAGAGTGACCAAATTTAATATCATTATATGGGCATTTTTCATTTATTCGCTAGAGCTGTAAAGAAACGAGAGAGAAATTCAAGTGTAAATATTGTTATAATTTGTAATGTTTGTTTAAGTGGTAAACATATTTAAGTTCAGTGATTAAAGAAACGCCCCCAAAATAAGGAATTAACAATGTAGCCGTGACTGACTTATGAATTTAAAATATTTTCAAGCGTATGTATTCGATAACAATGATATTCGACTTATCGAGAGCTATCGTTATTTTGCCTCTAGTATTGCTGCTAGCTGCACAAAGCGAGGTAAGTTTGTGTAAATATTCAAGGAAGAATATTGTTAAATATTTATAATTATTGTAGATATAATGGCTGGCTTATTTGACTCCGCACATACCGAGGGCCCCGGCTTTGTAGGCATACGTTTCTGTCAAGAATGTAACAACATGTTATATCCTAAGGAAGACAAGGACAACAAAACATTAATGTATGCATGCCGCAATTGCGATTACAAACAAGAAGCCGACTCTAATTGCATATATGTGAATAAAATTATGCACGAAATCGACGAACTGACTCACATTGTGCCCGATGTGATATCCGATCCGACACTGCCGCGCACTGAAGACCACGCATGCCCTAAATGCTCGCATCGTGAAGCCGTTTTCTTCCAGGCGCAAACCCGACGAGCGGAAGAGGAGATGCGACTGTACTATGTGTGCACCAATCAGAATTGTACTCATCGCTGGACAGAATAACAGCGGCAACAGAAATGCCAACTCCGTGTACGACTGCTGGCCTTGGCTTTGTCCGCACGCTTAGCTCTAAGTACATAATAAAGTTTATAATTTAAGTATATTTGAGCGCTGTTATTCTTAATGCAACCGCAAGTATTTCTCATTCACATATCGTGATCGAGAGAGGGAGCTACAAAATGAGAGCGGAGTACGTTCTCTCGCATGCAAATCGCTAGGCGCATCTCTCATCACAGTGGCAATAATTCCATATCTATGTATCAATCAGATATGAAACGAATACAAAGAACCAGGTAATTTAATTAAACAAGTTTGTTGTACGCATTCGCGCCGTTTCTCGAGCCGATCAAACGACAGTTGAACGTTAGAACTTGGCGCGGCGTGTTGGCGAGCTTAACATGCGAATCGAAATAGAAGCGTAAAAAAATAAATTTCAAACATGGCAAAAACAAATGATACAACGGCGGAGCCGGAACCGGAGCCCAAGTTGAATTATATGCAAAAACTATGGCGCTATCGTCGTTACATGGTGATCGAGCCCTTCTTCTTCTTTTACTTTATGGCATCCGTATTCAACCAGGTGGCCATGGCCAACTTCCCGCTGGAGAAGGCATGCCGTGTCAACCTCGGCTATAACAAAGCCACCTGCATGGCCATGTTGGATAAAGCGGAACTGGACATCGATTGCGATAGCTATGAGTTCGAAAACACTACCGATGGAGCCTCCATGGAGCAAACTTTGCTGGACGTCTATTCGACAGGCTTCAATTATACGGTCTGCAAGGCCGAAGTGGAGGCCCAGAAGCTTTCCGCGGATGTTTCGGGCAAACGTGCGCCCATAGGTAAATCTCACACATCTATTTTTATCTTAATGATTTAGTCAATTAGGTAGTCAAGGCAAGTGCAACCAGTTTTTCCAGCGATTCGCATAGCTTTGATCATATCTTCAGGTTCTGAGCTTTATTATTATTTTCTTTATTATTATCACTTTTATATAAAATCAACATTCGGTACGCATATACATATATACTACTAAGTGTATTTGTGTGTACATATGTATGCATGTATATACATATGTATAGAATTCTATAAAGCTAGGGAGAATTTAATTCGAATTTGATTTCTCACAAATGCTTGGCATTCTTTTCGCTTACATATTTTATATTCGTACACCAAAATTTTAAACTCTGCGCCTAACTATTCTCTTTAAGAACCGGTTCGTTACACAGTTTAGTTTTTATTTATTTTTTTCTTTCTACGTTTTTGGCAATTTTTTTTATTTTTAGCCTTAACGTGTTTTGTCATTGTCATTGCCAATGCCACAGAAATTGTTATTAGAAATTGACAGTTATTTTTATTTATAAAGTCATTGATTAAGTGACAATAAAACAATTATTGACAACCATTGCATCAGCTATGCAGCAGAGCAAAATGAATGTGCCTTGGGCATTGTGCAGCTATTAAATTCCAATTTGATTCGCATTTCTGTCTCGGAGTAGACATTTGTATGAGAAGAAGAAGACGTCTGTACTAGAGTGGTCCATTGTGTCTTACATTTGATTGGTGATGAAATATGTAAAGTCTAAACGTGTCGTCATCTACGATAGTATGAGCTTCATGGTGCTGTTCATTTGAGTCGGTAACGGCTTTTTAGTTAGCATAGAAATGCATATGAATGTACAATTATATCTATATAAACATATTCTATATATCTTCTATCTATCCTTCAGCTGCCATATTTCCATTGATTGTGCTGCTCTTCGCCGGAGGTTGGGCGGATAGATACAACAAGCGCAAACCATGCATGATTATACCCATCGTGGGCGAAGCTTTAATGTTCACCTGTAAGTGGGCCATTTGACTCGATTATGAGCAGATTAGATTTATATGAAGTACCTTGTAGGTCTCCTAATTTCGGCCATTTTCTTCGATAGTCTGCCCATGGAGTTCGGAATGTATTTGGAGGCGGTTGTGCCCGCGGTCTGTGGCGGTCTGACCTTCTGTTTGATGGCGATCTATAGCTATATGACAATTTCCACACCCGAAGAGGATCGCATCTTTCGGTTTGGCATCTTTGCTATGTTTTTAACCGGAGCTCCTCTTCTTGGCGCCTTCAGTGGATATCTCTTCAACACATTTGGCTACATAAGTGGGTTGGATAAGTTGTCTTCCATAGTCTTCATTTCAACAGTTTCTTTGTTTTAGTTTCGTTTGCCTCCGCCGTTGTCTTTCAAATTATTGCCATACTCTATATTGTATTCTTCATCAAGGAGATCAAGCCAAAGCCCAAGACATCTGAGGAAACGCCAGCTAACCAGATGGAGGATCATGCTGCTGATAATATTGCGTATGAGCAAACCACCTTGGATGAGCTGCCTGTTAGCAAGAATGTTAACTTTCAATTGACGCCACATCTGGAGCCACCCAAAGTGGAGCCACCGCCTGTGCCTGTGAAACGTTCTTTGCTGAAGGAACTCTTTGATCCCACTCTTGTGGTGGACTGCCTGCGATTTCCGTTGATCAAGCGAAAGAACAACGGACGCCTTCTACTACTTCTGCTGATTCTGGCGTATTTTCTTACCATCGGTCCCAACGCGGCTGAGAATGACTATTGGTATCGGTTCACCCTGAGGAAGTTGAATTGGAATGGAAATGACTTCTCCATTTTTTTGACCCTATCCGGACTGGCGGCTCTATTGGGTACTTTCATAGGCACAGCCATTCTTAGCAAGTTGCTCAAGTTCTCGGATCCCTCTATTGGAATACTCTCCGCCCTGGCCATAGTCTGTTCGCGTGTGATGTTTGTATGTACGCCTAGAATTGGTTTAAATGGAATCATATCAAAATTGAATTTCTTCAGTCTCTTGCCACTGACACCACGTCGTTCTATGTGGCCTGCGTCGTGGACATGTTTGTCAGCCTGCGAGTCATTGCCATCAAGACCATTGGCAGTAGCATTGTGGAGGGAGATGAGCTAAGTGGGTTCTCAATCAATGGACTCTGTGGTTAAATTACCGTAATTTAATTATTCTGTTTTTCAGGCAAAATGTATTCCATATTTGGCATCAGCGAACCAATTGGCCAATTCATATTTCCCCCCATTTACAGTATGATATACCAAAATACAGTGGAATCATTTCCAGGCGCCTTCTTTCTGTTTGGCGAAATCTTCTATGTGCCTAATGTTCTAGTCTTTGTGTAAGTTTTTAAGGGATCTTACAAATGTTAAAAATGTCTGTAATTTGTTATTCTTTCGCAGCCTTTGCTATTTTGTGTTGCGTCGTCGGAAGTCCAAAGAGCAAAAGGATTCCGTGGAACTGGCTCAAAATAACGAAGGCAATGGCCAAGTGGATGCCGCCAATGGCACAGAGATTACTAGTCTATGAGCCAATTAGAATTACTCTATACGAATCTTAACATGCTACCTTTTCCACATAGACAAACATTGCAAAAGTTCTATATATAACTGTATATATGTATATACGCCACTTGCTAGATTTGTGGTTTTATTTTGGTTAAGTGAGTTAGGCTTAACTAAGCCCACGTCTTTGCTGCCGGGCAAAGGAATTACTAGCCATGTACTTGCGATAATAATAACTTAGAGAGAGCCTTTAGTTGTTGATGGCCTATAAGTTACCCTGTCTACAGATATGCGTGTGTACATACATTGATATAAATGCTTTAAGGAAATCAATTAAATTCTCATGTTTCAACTTAGTATGGTTTGTATATATGAGATTTTTGCACATAATTTGTAAGCTCCATCTGTGAAGGATCCATTCTACTGACTGTTGAGCCAAACTACCCCTACTCTACCCATTATCAACTGCTTACAGGGTACTAGAAAACAGATGCTGTAACCCTTCTTTCACTTTGACTTTTACTTCAACTAGTGGCTGCTGGCTCGACAGCATGTGGCGAGGATTCCAATCAGCAAATGCATTCAATTTGATCAGCCAGCCGAAGTGCTGGGTGGTGGTGGGCGTGGCCCAACTGGGTGCTAAATGCCGCCTTGCCACGCATGGAAAACAATTGGCAACTAATAATCACGGTTAATCTTCTTCTGGCTCGATACAAGTCGGCCAAATAACCCAAACCCCCGACCTCCTCGCCCACCCCATGCTGTCGATTTTGGTAGTCACTTTTATTGCCATGAGTGGGATTTTCAGGAAACTGCTCTTTGCTCCTTGGCTATAAAAGCTGTTGTGTGAGCCACGAGAGCTCAGACGTTGCCTCAGCCTCATTGCGCGTGGTTTGGTCAGATTCATCTTCGGAGTTCCAGGCAAGTGTGAAAGTTCCATTTAGCAAAGTGCTGAGAGGGCTTACAAGTGTCGACAAGAGTCTCTTATAGAATACAAAAATACGAGTTCAGTTATTTCTTAAAAGTTTCTCGAATTCTTAACTGAATTTAAGCACTTGATATAGCATTATCTGAGCTAAAAATGATCAGTCTGTGAAGTAGTCAGAAAACGAATATTTGGATGAATATTTCTAGTAAAATATGTGCTGATTCAGTTTGTTCATTTCGTCATATTTAGACCCAGCTTCAATCATGCTGCGCTTGCTGCTGTTGCCGCTGTTTCTCTTCACCCTCTCGATGGTGTGCATGGGTCAGACCTTCCAATATTCCCGCGGTTGGACCAATGGAAAGCGGGCCACTCCCTCGGCTCTGCTGAACAGTGGCCATAATCTGGGACTGTTGGATGCATTTGAAATGCAAGAGAAGCCCAGCGATATCAAACTGGAACGGTAACTGTTCGAGCTATTGGCCTTGATGAATATATATATTTGTTGTTCTTCTCCTTCTTCTTGACTAGTTGCTTGATGCAGCTGCAACACTTGACGGGTAACGCCCTGCTGCATCACTCCTTTGCCAATGGATTGGCCTACAATGGGAATAGACCCGATCCGACAGATCTCAACATTCATGCCAGACCCAGATCCAGCGCCAATAGCAACGACAACAATCTATTGTATCCCAGAGTCAATCAGCATCAATCAAATGAGCTGTACGAAACGGTGGCTGATCCAGTGGAGCCAGCCGACTTTGGAAAGCATTGAGCGATGAAATAAGTTGCAAAACACACTCTACTGATGAATTATTATGACTAGCATTATTATTATTATTATTATTATTGCTGTTAGCAAAAAGTGCTACAAAAATATATTAACTGTATCATATGGTACAAAATACTGTTATTGCGTTCAGATTTTCCTTTTGATGTAAATACAAGAAGTTGAATCCGTCCGTTTGTCTGTGTCTGTTCGTCTATGTGGACACGTCGATCTCAGAAGCCACTAGAACTACACACTTGAATTTTGTTTTGTAAATTCCTATACATCACGCGCAGATCGATTATGTTTCTAAAATCAGTTGTAAAACTACATCTCCTACATCTTTAGATGCAGACTTCCTTAAATTCTGTTGGATAAAGTAACTAGTATACCAAAACAGCTGACAAAAAGTTCAAATAGCCCCGTATTTGCACCAAGTATTTCCTCTGAGTGCTTCCACTGTTTCTTTTATTTCCTCTTTGTATTGCTTCCAAGTATTTCTGTACGTATTCCTTTGAGTATTTCCTCCAAGTACTTTCCCTTATATATAGGGCTGCTTTTACTGAAAGTCTAAGTCGCGCTCAAATTTTAAGCCCATTGCCATGTAGGGCTCGTGCCAGCCGACCAATGGGAACGCTCTCTGCTACTTTAAGCATTGCAGCTGCTCAAAAATATTTTCACATATACACCCACACATTTGAGATTAATAACAGATGGTGAATATTTCCGTAAAATGAAGCATTCTATCAACTCTTATATGCTTTAAGGTGTGTCTTGGCTAGTAGGTTGATGTCTCTGCTTTTATATCGCAGTGACGTCAAACTGTTAACTTGGTCATCGCTTTGCATAGCTGATCGCGATGTTCGGCTCTGTTGTGGTGTCGTTTTGATGTTCGGCTGCTTCGAGTCGGCTCTGCCGCTTCGGACTGGCTCTTCTCTACTGATCGATCGGCTCTGCTGCTGCGCATTGGCTGTATTGTGGTAGGCTCTGGCTCAGATGTGATTCTGAGCATTGGTATCTGCTAGAAAAGCAAAAAGTAGGGAATTTCATATACATATGCATGTGAAGAAGATAAAAATCAAGACCGATGTAGGCAACAATCAGAATCGCGCTCATCGCTGGACGAACTACAGCGGAAACGGAAATGCCAGCCGACCTTGACTTTATTCACAGTAATTAATATTGGAATTTAAGTGTGGTAGAACACTCAACAGCACACAAATCTCGATCGAGAGTTAATGGGCGAGCGGCAATGAAAGCGGAACACATTCTCTTCCATGCAGCCTGCCTCTCATCATAGTGATTCCAAAATCTATCAAACAGAAATAAAACGAGATCAAAGAATTAAAAAAATTTAATCAAACAAGTTTCTCGTACGTATTTATGAGCCGTTGTGCTGCCTGATCAGACGACAGTTCAATTTAAGTGCTTGGTGTGACGTATGGAAGTATCACATAAAGCTACCGACGAGCCGGACCCCAAGCTGAATTATATGCAAAGGCTTTGGCACTATCGTCGATATTTGGTGATCGAGTCATTCTTCTTCTTCTACTTAATGGCATCCGTACTCGACCATGTAGCCCTAAAAAGCTTCCCCCTGGAAAAGGCATGTCGTGTCAACCTGGGCTACAACCGAGCCACCTGCATGGCCACCTTGGATAAAGTGGAGCTGGGCATCGATTGCGACACATACAAGTTTGACAATACGACGAATGGTGCCTCCATGGGCGAAGCTCTACTGGGCGTGAACTCGACGGGATTCAAGTATACGGTCTGCAAAGCTCAGGAGGAGTCCCAGAGGCTGTCAGCGGATGTTTCGGGAAAACGCGCGCCCTTAGGTAATCTCTGAGTCTATATTTATCTTAATAATTTTGTCATTCATATACATAGATAGTCTAAGTAAGGGAAACCAGTTTTGAGTAGTGCAAATTGAAACGATTTACACAACAACAATAGATAACTATTGCTATTTTCAATTCAAGCTTCAGTTTCAGATTGGTATTCAGTTTGAATTCATAATCTTATCTATCCGTTAGCCGCCATATTTTCATTCATTATAATGCTCTTCGCCGGAGGCTGGGCAGACAAATACAACAAGCGCAAGCTATGCATGATTATACCCATCGTGGGCGAAGCTCTAATGTTCACCTGTAAGTGGTTCGTAAGACTGGATTATTGGGCAGATTAGATTAACATGAAGTACTTTGCAGGTCTCCTAATTTCGGCCATTTTCTTCGATAGTCTTCCGATGGAGTTCGGAATGTACCTGGAGGCGATTGTGCCTGCGATTTGCGGCGGTCAGACCCTCTGCTATATGGCGATCTATAGCTATATGACGATAGCCACTCCCAAGGAGGACCGCATCTTTCGGTTTGGCATCTTTGCTATGTTTTATAGCGGAGCTCAATTTATGATCGTCTTCAGTGGATATCTCTTCAACGCATTTGGCTACATAGGTGGGTTGGATACGCTCTTTTATATACTCTTTCTTTTCATTATATTTATTCGTTTTAGTTTCGTTTGCTACCGCCATTGTTTTTCAAATTATCGCCATACTTTGTATAATCTTCTTCGTCACGGAGATCAAGCCACGGCCCAAGACATATGAAACGCCTAGCCCGCTGGCGAGTCATGCCGCGGATAATATGGCCTATGAGCAAACCACCTTGGATGAGCTGCCTGTGGGCAAGAATGTTAACTTCCAATTGACGCCACATCTGGAGCCACCCAAAGTGGAGCCACCGCCTGTGCCTGTGAAACGTTCTTTGCTGAAGGAACTCTTTGATCCCACATTGGCGATGGAGTGCTTACGATTTCCTTTGATCAAGCGCAAGAATAACGGACGGCTTCTATTACTTCTGCTCATCTTGGCCTTTTTTCTGATAGCGGGCCCGGCGGTGGGTGAGACTGACTATTGGTATCCCTTCGCCTTGAGAAAGTTGAATTGGAATGGTACAGTGTTTTCCATTTTTCAAACAATGTCCGGCCTTCTGGGACTTTTGGGTACTTTCATAGGCACGGTTATCCTTAGCAAACTGCTCAAGTTGTCGGATCCCTCCATTGGCATAATCTCCGCTCTGGCCGTTGTCTGTTCGCGTGTGATGTTTGTATGTATATCTAGAATTGATTTGGATAAGCTTTAATTAAAATTTAATTTGTTTCAGGCCCTTGCCACTGATACCACGTCCTTCTACGTCGCGAGCGTCGTGAACATGTTTGTCAGTCTGCGCGGCATTACCATCAAGAGCATTGGCAGCAGCATTGTGGAGGGAGATGACCAAAGTGAGTTCTCATGTAAATTATTTTCCGTGTTTTTATTATCGTTGTTATATTCTCCTTTTGAGGCAAAATGTACTCCATCTTTGGCATCATCGAGCCAATGGTCCTAATCATATTTCCTCCCATCTACAGTCTGATCTATAAAAATACAGTGGACACATTTCCAGGCGCCTTCTTTCTGTTTGGCGAAATCTTCTTCGTGCCCAACGTTCTTGTCTTCGTGTAAGTTTTCAAGTAAATTGTTTTCGATTTATATGTAGATATTGTCTATAATCTGTTGTCCTTTTGCAGCTGTTGCTATTTCGTGTTGCGTAATCGAAAGACCAAAGAGCAAAGGGATTCCGTGTAGCTAGCCCAAAATCGAACGGCGGCGATGGGCAGGCGAATGCCCCGAATGACATAGAAATCATGAGCTGAGATGAGCTAATTAGAAGTACTCTATACGAATCTAGACATACAAAGTTCTATATACAACCTCAGCCTCAATGGATGTTAGACTTGTCTAATGGCGAAACAATTTTATTCCGTACTACTTGCTCCAGGTTCGAAAAATGTTAACCCTCGTAATTCCGCCTTTGCCAAGTATGGAAAACAATTGTCAACCAACAATCACATATAAAAATTAAAAAAAAAAAAAAAAATGAATCAAGTAAATATACCAAACCGAAATCAAGTCTTAGAGACTTTTTTTTACTGTGTACCATAAATCATCTGCAATAACTTAATAGCTTTATTTTTCTAAAATCATGATCATTCTAAATGTGTTGAAGAATGCCTTGGCCAGCTAGAATACAGAATAGCACACACATATACACACACAATTAAAATTAGGCTTTGTGTTCATTCATCAATATTTCCATAAATTTGTTGTTGAAACACTTAATAATACATGCAAAGCGGTCCATAACTAGATTTTTAATCAATTCAAATCCCATTTAAAATTCTGAAAACTCTGGGTTTCTGTCTACGCTAGGTTGATATCTGTGCTAACATAGGCGTAGCGCCACCTGTGGTTCGTGTTTGAAGCCAACAAATTAAGACTCGTTTTGAGGTCATTTCCAACGCCTATATGAGCAAGTTAATTAACCGTTGATATTGGCATAACTTTTGTGTTGCGCCATTTTGTTCAGTGAATGAATAGTTCAAATGAACTACTTACTACCTTAGTGAATTGAGAACAATGAGCTGATACACGGACAAAAAATGCGGTAAAAGTACAGTTTAATGCAGAAATTAGCAGTCTTTTTTAACACTTTTCTAATCATTAAATATCTATTCATAATCTATGATTATTCATAGTATAATAATATACGGAATGAGTCAACTAAGTCATATGCTGAGACAGTTCATTATAGAACCATAAGTGGCTTTCAATAAATAATACCGCTAGAAGGATAATCTGCAAGTCCTTAGCAATATCATCAATCAAATAACCCAAGATGGGGCCACAGATGGGGGCTCACCCGTTTGAGCGTTTGGAGTCAGCCGATTATGATGCACATTAAATCGAAACGGGTTGAAAAATCGATGCGAAACTAAATTGCGGTTGCTGTAAAAGTCTTGGGATTTGCTATAAATATACATTTGTTAAATAAATATGGTAAAAAAAGAAAACATATATTCTTGAATATCCTCAGGGTATATAATGGTTATAGGTATAAAGAATTTTTCTCAAGTTATGTTCAGGAGGAATTCATTCAGCTCATAATCTTTCCAGTTTGAAATCGACGTGGGCTTATGTATATGCAAAATTTCATTCAATATTCATAAAACGAAAGCAGAAATCAAATCATTTTTATTCATTTGGCGTAGAAGATATATGCACGCGGATATAATTGCGCCTTAACGACAAATGCTGTGCGCACTTCGATGCGAAATGCATGTCGAGGCACGTGATAATGTCCTGAGCGCTACGTCCTGAGGCCAGAGTCCTGACGAGAAACAGCCGCCATCGGACTTGAAGCGGGGTTGACGCTAAGCCAGAGCAGCCGAAGGCAAAAAGAAAAGAAACAAGTGAGCAGCAGCTTCTTGCTGTTAATTACTTTAAGTGGTTTGGACATGGCAGCGAGGTCGCACTGTGCCTGTACTGCACCTGTAGCAGCGCCTGAGATGGCAAAATCAAACTGGCTGCCATAAAGCTGAGCTGGCTCATCATTCACGCAATCCCTTCCCGAAGAGAGAGAGAGAGAGAGATATATATGACAGAGCGAGCCATGGAAAACGATGTTTTCAAATTGAATTCCTAACAAGCTAATCGATCCTCGGGGAGGGCAGGAGACGCATGAGCCAGGACGCACAACAGTGCCAAAGAGAGGGGGAGAGAGAGAGAGGACACGCTTCGCACGCATCACCCCCGGCTGCTCGGGGAATATGAATTTATATCTTTTAATCTGCGACAGGCTGCAGCTGAATCGAGTCCCAGCAAACCAAAAAAATATACAAAAGTGAAATTAAGGACGCAGGACATATTTCAACAATGCAGCAGCAGAAGCAGCAGCGGCGATGCTGCGCTGTTTATTGTCAATGTCAAGTGGACCTTTGGGGTGGTGTCAAGTGGCACCACGGCACGCCCTCCCAGGGGCTTCACTTGTATGTAATTGCATTAAAATGCAATCGGAATTGCCTTTCGCCCGTTCGCCCGTTCGCCGCTGTCGTTCTTTGGTCCTGTCGTCATCGACTGTCGCCTGTCCCTGGCATCTAGGGGCCTGGCTCGCAGCTAGGCGCCAGTCGGAGCTGCGTAAACTGTATTGAAAGCTGCTTTTAACGCCCTATCATTGGCAGCTCAAGTGAGCAGCCGGGCGGCATCAGATGTCCTGGGCGAGCTGCCGACAAGGACATCAAATTGATTGTAGCACCTGCAAATTGAGTGGTCAGAAACTGTCTCTTAAGCACAACTGAAGTGAAGCTTGAAAAGCATTTCCGTTCAGTTTTCCTTTTAAATGAGATTCAATTCGTCATTTGATGGAAGGCAGTAAAACTCGAATTCTATAATCAATTTTTACAGTACTATTCATTGCATTACAATTATCAGTCATCAATCAGTCAATCAATTATTTAGTGACTTGCAGTCAATATTAACAATTGTCTAAGAAGGTTTGTAAAATTATAATATCAATCAATCGAACAAACTATTAATTAATCACATTCTATTTGATAATAACAAAATCAGAAGACTCACTGATTGAATGATTGACTAACTAACTTACCAATTAATGAGACACAGACCCACATAGCTTTAAATTTTATACTAAAGTTTATGCACCTGATCGACTGACTGATTGATGGCTTAGCATTGATCGGACCTTTTCATAAATCTTACTTAAAAAGCAATTAGAACGGACATTGCAAAATCCTTTCCGATTATTCGAGCTCAAGTTTTCGGAACTTTCCCAGGATTATTTAGTGTTGCTATCTATTTGTAGCATCTGCTCTAACTGTAGTGCCTGGGGTCAACATTTGTATCGAAATCTCAACACTTGCCGCTGCAGGAGGAAAACAAACAGAGAAACAGTCAACACCCCCTGGCAGGGACAAGCGGATAACAATTATATTAAAGAGCAGGCAAAACGACATTCACACTGGATTTGTAACAGGATACGCGTGTAACCACGAAATGGCAAGTCCTTCAACAACAGGGATAATGCGCAAAACACCCTTTCAATTAAATATTTGAAAACAACATTCGGCAATTACACAATTGACACCGATTGCTGCCTGAGGGGGCTGCTAAGCCCACCCCCTCCCTGCGCACTCTCTCAAGCAGCCCTTAGCATTATTTGGGCTTTCAACTTCATCAATTTGAAATGCTGCCTCGTCTCGCGAGTCACGAGTCACGAGAAGCGAGGCACGCGCGTCAATGCTCGCCGCGATACGCAGCCGGGCACCGCAGGGATTTGAATAGTCGGAGAGGAATGGGGATGTGGATGGGGAGGAGGAGCGGGTGGGGTTGGCAGAGATAGAGGCAGAGGGTGGTTGATGCGCAGTCGAAGTCGCTGGCAGGTTCATAAACAACATCAACAAGGACAAGTTGTGCTCGTTAAACATTAGTCAACATGAACATGACATGGCCAATATCCCACACTCTCGCAGGGCCCTCTCTCTCTCTCTCTCTCTCTCTCTCTCCCTCCGTCCGTTTTTACGTTCGCTTGTCGTGTGTCGCAAGTCGTGAACTTGCTTTTTATTGTTTGGCCCATTCGTTTGTCGTTTACTTTTACGGCCAGGCATTTATTTGGCCAGCAACAAAAAATCTGTGGGACTTGCGTATTTTAATATGCATTTGGGAAAAGTTTCTGGCCGGGCAAACGGAATGCCAAACTACCCGGATATCCAAATGAGTTTCGTTTCATTTCAATTTTCATCTCACTGTCCCGCTTCTGTTCTGCACTGCATGCTCTCTTTACTGTAAAGAGGGTATATCTGTTTCCCTTAACAGCTTCTGTTCCTCTATCTGTCTCTTTGCTGGCCTGGACTAAAGCTGAGGACTTCTATATTGGGTATACTCCTATATTCATGTATCTTCGATAGTCTCTGAGTTGAGATTAGAGCGCTTCACTGTATGGATAGATCTGCAATGCGAGTATCAGCAGCTTGGTTATACCCGACTTTGCCGTACTTCTTTTTGTTGTAATGTGCGTGAACACTTCTGGCCTCGATGTGATTCGTGGCAACTGCTGGATTTGGATTTGCTCGCTGCATTATTTATGGCGCCGCCTCCAATTTTTGACTCGGCTCTGGACTCTGGAAAAATTACGCAAAAATCAAAATTTACCCTGAAGGCCACTTAGAGAGGCGGACGAAGACAAGGATAAAGATAAGGATACGGCCAAGGACAGGCGAGCCGTAGCACGGCAGAAGAAAAGAAAAAGGTCAGATTCTTGCTTTAGCAAATAAAAAATGCAAATGCTGCGAGTCCATGAAACGGACAATTGGGACTGAGGCACAATCTAATGCAAAACATGAAAGCGAAATGAGAGTGACTTGGCAGAGACAGAGGGAAATTGGGATTGACTGCCTAGAAGATACCCTGCTGTGGAATTAGACAATTGTCAATTCTGCTAAAGAAGGGACAGAGTTAAATGAAAAGGATAAGATCAAGCTCCAATATGAAATATCCTGTAGATACAAAGATTTCTTTTGGAAAGAGAAAGAGAATAACTCTTGCTAAGACATAATGTATAAAGAAATAATTTTAATCAATATGAACTTTTCAAGCATTTAAATGTAAATTTAAATATATTTATA